CAAGCTTTATGTTTTTATCGGATTGCAAAGTCTTTGCCGTCATGAAAACCATGAAAAATTTTGAGAATGAAAAATAATTTAGGAATAATTTTTTAATATAATTTTATGTTAATTTAAATGATTGTTTTTCTTATATATTTAAAATTTGAGATATTAAATATATATTTAATGATATATAAAAATTATTTAAAAAATTATTAAAAAAATTGTTCCACTTAAAAAAATGTTAAATTTTAGTTCTTTTTGGGAGAAAAAGAAAAATCAGCTTCAAATATCTACAGCGGACGTGTCACTTGATTAACCTCAATAATTTTGCGATGCCACTCACAGCACTCTTGAGGAAGGAAGAGTTGCAGATTGTTATTGCATTTTTACTGTGTCTGAAACCAAAATTAGAGGAACAATATGGGTTGCAGCTGCACTTTAGCTTCTTCCACTATCTCCCCCTGCCTCTCTTCTTCCTTGAGAATCAGCCCTTTACGTTCCTCCCTTGGTTTGTCACGCTCCTCCAGTCTTTGCTTTCGAAGTAATATAAATGGGGTTTTGGAGTTATCCCATTTCAGTTCCAATTCCACTCGTTTCAGAACCATCCTCAAAAGCAGCAACAGCAAAGCCACTGATTTACAAGTGGACTCATCATCAAATGCGGTGGACTGCGTTGGCACTGGCCTTGATGTGGAGTGCGTAACCACGGAAGCAGGTGAAGAGCAAAAGGGTGGTGAAGAAAGCATCACAGTGGTTGAGATTAGTGATGTGTTGAAGTGGGCGGTTTTGGTGTCCCCTTTCTTCTTCTGGGGCACTGCGATGGTGGCAATGAAGGAGGTTTTGCCCAAGGCAGGCCCTTTCTTCGTGGCTGCCTTTCGTTTGATTCCTGCAGGGTTGCTGTTGGTGGGTTATGCAGGGTCCAAGGGCAGGCCTTTGCCCTCTGGACTTACTGCTTGGCTTTCCATTGCTCTCTTCGGTTTCGTGGATGCCGCATGTTTTCAGGTTTTAATTAAGTTTTCTCTTTTCTTTTCCTTTTCCTTTTGTGTATCATTTACTCTTAATTAAAGCAATTGTTGTGCTACAGGGATTTCTTGCTGAAGGGTTGCAGAGGACATCTGCAGGTTTGGGCAGCGTATGTTTGATTTTTCTTTTTGTTTTACTTCTTGTCTACATGTTGCAATTAAAGGAATATATATATTTGTTTGTATTTCATTTTTCGTGATACTTGTAAAGGCCCCTTGAATTTAACATTTTTTTAGCATGCAATTGTTAGTTTAATGCTTAGAGAAAGAAAATTTCATACAAGACTGAACTCAGTATGTCTCAGTTTTCATTGGAGGCTACCTACACTGACTGCTATGCAATATGTAAAATTTTGAAAAACAGAGAAATGCTTCAGTTATGTATCAAACTATTTAGAGCTGGTGGAAATATAATGTATTGATTTCTGTTGGCAGGTGATTATTGATTCACAACCTTTGACAGTTGCAATACTTGCATCCTTGTTATTTGGTGAGTCCATTGGATTGGTAGGAGCTGCAGGGTTGCTGCTTGGTGTCATTGGGCTTCTACTTCTTGAGGTAATATTATCCATGTTGAAAAGAGGATCCTCGCTATTTATTTCTTAAGATGAATTTTAGGTCTTGTCTTCCCGGAAGCTAGTATTGACCTTTTGACCCATGAAATGCATGGTTTGGAGAAAGTAATCCTTGTTTTATATTAGCAGGCTGGTGTTTTTCCTTTTGGTTTTCAGCTGCTAAAACCACTAGCAAAGCAAATCTAGTCCTTGCCTCCTTCCCTCACGTTTCTCCATATGCAAAAGATTTTTGTGCCTCATTTTCTTCTGGTGTGGTACAAACCTGACCTGAGCTGCTAAACTCCTCATCTGCTGGGCATTATTAATCGGTAGTCCTGGAAACACTAGTCATCTTCCTGATAAATTCTTTACAGCAAATGCAGGATCTCTGGACAGCCAATTACTGTCTTCTCTTTTCAGCCTTGTTCTTAAGCTCATATATTTTTGAGCTGGAATAAGTACCCTATGTTGTTTATGGTTATTGCTTTGATTTTGATTTTGATTTTTGGATTTGGATTCCCATCCTTTTACTCCATATGTCTTCATTTGATAAATAAAGCATCTGTTTTAGGTACCTGCTCTTGCTTTTGATGAGAGCAATTTTTCATTGTGGGGGAGTGGAGAATGGTGGATGCTCCTTGCAGCTCAGAGCATGGCAGTTGGAACAGTCATGGTCCGCTGGGTTTCTAAATACTCTGATCCTGTCATGGCAACTGGATGGGTAGTTATCCCAACTTGCTCTCCTGTTAACTTGTTGTCTTTTCCTTGACCTAATTTGAGGAAAAGTATACCAAGGGCTGTTTTTTGTTGTTGTTATTGTTGTTGTTGTTTTTTTTTTTTTTTTTTAATAGGCAGCAGGGCTTTTGTTCACAATTGCCTATAGGGAACACACTTGTTTCATGTTTAGTTGAGGATCTAAACCATTCGAATATTTGAAACAAGGGCACATTTAATTGGGATGGTTTTTAAATGACATCCATGATAAGCTGACTAGCATTTAGAAATCGCAATGTTGTGATCACTGAATGTAATTGTTGGCCAAAAAGACACTACAAGGTAATTGATGTTGTAGAAGGCCTAAAATAAGAGTCTGTTTGTGCTAACTATACAAAAAAGAGCTGACTGATGCATATCTAATTTTATTGCAGCACATGGTCATTGGTGGTCTTCCTCTTGTGGCACTTTCCATTCTCAATCGCGATCCTGTTTACAGTGGGAGTCTTCAGGAGCTTTCATCAAGTGACTTATTGGCACTCCTTTATACCTCCATTTTTGGAAGTGCCATTAGCTATGGTGTATACTTCTACAGTGCAACAAAAGGTTGAATTCCATGTGAAAATTCACTTTAGCTCTTGCTCTACTTTGCTGTCTATTTTCCTTTGTCTGTTGCATAGCAAGCCTTTTTAACTTCTATTTTTAACTTAAGCTACTGAACTCTAATTTCTATCTGCTGACCAAAAGAAAAGAAAAGAAAAAGTCTAAATTTCTATCCTATTACCAATGAACTTTTATGAGTTAACTAAGTCAAATTTTTAGTGCTGTCATTAACTAGTTTTTGATTTGGAATTTTCTGATGGATTTCAGGTAGCCTGACAAAGCTAAGCTCCCTCACCTTTCTGACCCCAATGTTTGCTTCAATTTTTGGGTAAGTTTATGCATAAAAAAGAAACGGAAATCTGATGGAATAAGATTGTCTAGGCTAATTTTATAGCTTCAAAAAAGTAAAATTCCAGAGAGTCCTGGTAATATGGAAAATATTGACAAGCTATATCTTGTAATGCATGACTTTCTGGTCTTTGTTTTTGTTCATGATTAATGTTTTGATCTTCAATGACAGGTACCTATACCTTGGTGAGACCTTCTCTAGTTTGCAACTGTTTGGGGCCATTGTGACTTTGGTTGCAATATACATGGTTAACTATCGAGAAAGTACTCAATAAGGCTACGAACTAAGGAGAAATAAGGAGAAAGCAATACTACAGTGCAGGTTTTTTTCCTTTATTTGGCAAGATCTACCTTACCAATGAGGCATGTGTGTATTTGATGGGACCCTAAGCCAAAAGCAAAGAGGCATAATGCCAGAGGTGGACGTCTTGTAACGTAGCATGTGTCTGTAAATACGGATAGGATCATAGGTGGATTATGGGACACTTGAAAGGTTCATTTCTCAAGCATTATATCACTTCGTGGAGACATGTTCATTGCTGCTTGAAGTTCTTCAAGTTGGAGCAACATGCCATGTAATAAGTGAAGGCATTTCCACGGGGAAGAAAAAAAGTTGAGGGCATCGTTTTTTCATTTCTCGTAATTGGTTTGAGACGATTTTGCATTATAACTAGTGGACAATTGTTCTGTATGGCTTGTACAAGTCGAAAACTGGTAAATACTTTTATAATTAAACACTAGTTCAATTTATTCTGCAACTGAAAGATTTTTTTGAGCAAGGTTACACTTTTGGGGGTGGGGGGAATCAAACCTCAGCCCTCGGGTTGGGGGATGCACTTTATAAGTCAGTTTATAGCCGTTGGGCCGTGAAGTCCAGGTGCGTAATTGAAAGATTAAGGATCTAATAGAACCTAGTTTAAAAGATTGAGGAGTATTCATGGAATTGCCATCATTTTTATCTACGTGACTTGTGAATTGTAATCCTGAAAATACATTATTTTTCCCCATAAAAAAACAAAATACACATTTTTTACTAAAAAGAAAAAGAAAACACACACTTCTTTTTTCATAAAAAAAAAAAAAAGAAAAATGAAAAAACATTAGTCTAATTTAATTTAAGCCAGAAAATAATACAAAAAATTTTAATGCGAGAAAAAGATGGGAATCAATCTGAAACGTATCCCGCTGCCCTAGACAAAAACGTGAGAGGGGATTGTTTCTACCTGTGACAGTGGGGGTCCGTCTTCCTTGTAAAAATTACTAGTATTTCAGTTCGTCGGACAATGTTTTATATAAATTTTTTTTATATAGTATCATATTTAAAAATATAAATTTTTAATTTTTATTTAATTTATTACATATTTGTAGCGTAAATGACAGAAAAAACTACAACTACAATAATAATGTAGCATATTATTATTATTATTATTATTTTAACTTTAAGAAATTGTTGAGAACAAAAAGAGTAGTGCTTGGAAATAAATTTCAAAGTTCTCACATTCAGGCATATTTCTATAAAAAAAAATGACTATTAAATCACATAGTGCTGGAAAACATATTATTTACCGACGAAGCCTTAGCCTTTTAATTTTTTTGATAAATTACAAGTGTAACATATAAATTGTAAACAATATAAATATTTTGACTTAAATACAAAATAAAATTTTTAAAAAGAAACCTATTATAAATGAGAATCAAACTTGTAACTTTGGAATTATCGAAGTCTATCTTTATCATTGAGCTTGAATGTTTATTTTTCCTTTATACTCAAATATTTTGTAATGATATGATAACAGAGGTGAGGCCCGTCCGAAGCCTGTTGTCGACGTAATAGGGTGCCCCCATTGGCCATTTAATTAGGTTGTTAGTTTGTCTATTTACTTATTTATTTTTGATTTTTGGTTATTAGGTTGTTAGCTGTATTGCCAGCAGGGAGAGAGCGAAAGCATTCAAAAAAACATATTATATAGGCATATGAGTATGTAGTGTTGCAGTTTAAATTGTATTAAATTGTAAAGTAAAAATTTATTAGTTTATAATTAGATTATTAATTATATTGTCAAATTGTTGTTAAATAAATATGGTATAGGTTAAATGTATATTAAATATATACTTTTGTTATAAATTTATATTGAAAAAATAAAAATTAACATTTAATTTATTAAATGTCTAATTAAATTTACTTACTTGACATTAATACTAAAATTAACATCAACGTTTATAATTTTTTATATGCATTTATAATAAATAAAATACTTTTAACTTGTATCTTACAAAAACCCAATAAATATAAATGTGTTCTCCTTTCCTTCAAATTAGGTTGTTAGATATACTGCCAAACGATTAGGCTTCTAATTAAATAAAGGAGAATGTTGCAAGTAAATGTGTCTTGCAAGGATATTAAATTTATAATTATTTTTATTTAAAGATGTAAATTTTGTGTCAACTACTTAAATAATTTAGTGGTTATCTCTTTCTATTAAAAATAAAAGGTGTTGAATTTAAGTCGCATGATACATGAGTAGGATGAGGTGAGGTGGGATAAGGGATAAGAGATAAGAGATTATTGTCTCTCATTGTACAACAAAGATAAAAAAAATGTGTCATTAAATAATAAATACAAAATATTTTCATGTGTGATTCTCTAAATAAAAAAATTAATTACATAATTACAAGTAATATTGTACCTAAACGTTGTATGCTTAATATTTTCTTTAAATAAATGCGTTCTGCTTTAGTTATTCATTTGCAGCCCTCCTATGCCACTTCAAACTTCTCACAAATGTTGCATTTTAGTTCTTGTAGTGTATTTTACTTTGTAGACACCCCAAATCTACCTCTCAAACAAGGGTAGAGGTAAATC